GGTTGAGACAGTCGTCTGTAATTGCCTTATACTAACAACCTGCAAATTAACCTCGCTCCTCAAGAAACAAGTTGTAGCAACTCCCCTTTTTTTATGTTTCCCCCTGTTAGGTGTACAGCATTTAATCTCATAAAACTTCCATCTTTACACAGCGTGAGATCTTTCACACCCATAAAAAATTAATAAAACCACGAATTAATATTAATTTGGGTCCCATAACTGTTATATAATAAGACTATTAAAAATGCAGCATACCTGGAGAAATTACTGAAATATTTTATTTGGAAAACCTGAATAGAATGAGAAATATTCTCGAATATCTCGCAGAAACACGGATTAACTCTGCGAACTGGATCCGACTGGCTCAGAAGAGATCAATGACGGGATTTTGTAAACATTAACATTGAAATAAAAGCTAACTAACGAAATTCCTTGTAGTGTAACCCGAAAATGCAACAACGATTTAGAAAGGATGTGGAAGGAAGCGGTCCCACCCCTTGCATTTCCTTGAAGGGATTGAGGAAAATCACGTAAACTCCAGTCACGATAGCCAGTCTTCGGGGCCGAAATTTTAAACCAGGACTTCCCGAATACAAAGCGAATACAAACCACTCGACCTTAGATATCACAGGCGCAGACAAAGGTTTCTGAAGGGAATACGTATATAACATTAGAAAGATATCGATTTTGTTATTGATTGTGTTGAATTTTCGGGTTACACTACAAGGAATTTCGTCAGTTAGCTCTCTTGGGAGTTGTGGATCGCTGTGGTTGCGTAACTGAAATGTTGGTTTAACAAAGTCGTGAAACCTGACATGGATTTTGTTGCAACCGCTTGTTTCTCTGGTGTTGTTATGACCGCAACAAGCTTTTTGTCGGATAGTTCAGAGAAATATTTTGCGAAGTCTAAAGAAATAAGGAGGTTGGACTCGCCCTCAGAGAGTCGAAATGTCTCGCAGAGTGTCGGGTTTCTCTACAGCGGTGGAAATCCTTAACTACATCCGCTCCGAGGGTAATGACAAAATGGTAATGGTCTATGACAGATCCGCCTTCTTCTTGTTCATCTTGTGGTCACGTGTTCCGAAAATGTGCTCCTCTGTGGTCACAGCCGCAAACCAGTATTGCCAGCTTTGTAAATCGATACACTGTAAGCTATTTTTTTTAAAAACATTAAGCTCTATGTAGGCATGTCCTTATCGAACAAAAATTTTCATTTGTATTTATCTTTCCTGTCCAACGCTGTAGTGTAACTTCTACAGGTAAGTTCCACTACTGAAAGTTATCGTTGTCCAACAAGAGAGCCTAAATTTAAGTCAGAACAGAAACGATCCAACTATCATATATGCAAGAATGGACTAAAATAAAGCTGTAATGATTTAAGGACAACAGAATAATCAACCGATAATAATTTAGGGCAGGAACGACCTAAGTGATACGGAGTGCAAAACCTTTTGGATCTTGGTTAACAACAAGGATTACGAAGTAGTAATCTTAGTAAAAAAGCAGGGCCCTTTATTGATTTTTATAGAGGGGGGGACGAAGGCCTTTTGTGGCCATTAATATCCACAGAAATGGAGTACAAATATACGTTAATATACGCAAAGTCGGATGCCTTAGACATTGAAAAATATATGAAGAAATATAGGCTAATATACAGCCAATATCATAGTCCGTATTAGGGAGGTGTTTTCGGGTATTTGTATATCCACTATTGTTTAGTGATATGGATGAATCTGTACAGCAAGTGTAATGGAGGATTGTAATGTCTTTTAATGGGATGTGGAGATGTTTCTGTAGTCAGGGTTACGAAACAAATGATATGAAGGCGCCTGTATAGCGAGCATTATGGAGAATAGTGGAGGTATATAGCCAGTCTAATGGAGGACAGTTGAGGCGTGTGTAAAAACATTCTGATGGTGAGATAGCACCTAAAAATCAATTATTATTGACTGAGGAGGATCCCCTTATATATTCTGTATCACAGACAAAGACGAAGGACTTTCACATATGCGATATTATAGGCAGAAGGTAAAAACTCTGTACGTTAATAAAATGTTCTCTGACTATCAGCCGTGTGAGCTGATAGCCCGAAATTTTATTAATGTTTGTCTCCGTGAAAGGTTCAAACCATACAAACTT